GCTGGCAAATGTGGCAAAGGAGTTCCCTTTGAGGCTTTGGGTCTCCATAAAGACAAACACCCAAACCAGAAGTCACTAAGTCAGTCTGTCTGTCTGTCTGTTCAGATACCCACCTGGCAAAGTCATGGGGAAGCAGGTCGGGGCTGACGCCCAGCGAGTCAAGCACATCGTTTCTGATGTGCAGCAGCAGCTCCGCGTCCTCGCTGTAGCTGTCAGAGCTGGGGTCCCGCCCTTTATCCGTGCGGAATTCACTGCGGAAGAGGAAGAGGGAGGTTAGAGAGCCAATCTCTTCCTAATGAACGCGCTGCTCTCACTTCAAATACAAGGAAACCCCAAAATGTCCTTTCTTGTATTCACCTCTAGGAAGTAATACATTAATCAAAATGTGGGCCATTTATCCAACAAACGCAGTCAGAAAGGCAACTATAGAATTACAACAACGAAAATTTCTGTGACAAGTGTCGCGGTGGTAAAATGGGATCTGACCCGGGCCAAAGGAAACAAGTAAAATGGCCCCTGAGCAGAAAAGGCCAGCAGAAGGCCCTGTTAGGAGAGGCCTGGGTGGGGGGACCGCATTCTAGGATCAGTTCAAAGGGCTGCTTCAGCCAGAAAGAGAGAGCCAAATACTCACTCACCAAAAAGGCAGGTCACTGCAAACAAACCTCCCTTAATACAAGAACTATGTCAACCTCCAGGAACCAAGGAACTAGGGGGAAAAGTTCTAACCACATGTTGGCACCAGGCTTATGGAAGGAGACCCCAACAAGGATAGAACCAAATCCAAATAAAAGAGAACCGATATAAACACTTTCTGCTGCTGCTGTTCCTGGCAGAGTGACCACACCACACAGGGCAGTTCAGAGTGAATCTGCTTCTTCTTAGCCTCAGCTCTGGGTGCTCTAGGCAGCACTTACCGGGACGGGCACTCTACTGTTTGCTAAGCATGCTCATTAAGTCTTAGCCTCTGCACACCAAGGGAGGAAGAGGACATATTCGGTGAATCAGCCCCAGGGCAGAGGCTCTTCCCTAAGACTAAGGGAGACTGCAAGCCTGAGTCACCATCCCTGGTGGTTCCAGGCTCTTAATAACACAAGATTTGGAACTTGCCCAAACTAAAGAATTATTCCTTTTTTTTTTTTAAGATTTATTTATTTATTATGTATACAGTGTTCTGTCTGCATGAATGCTTGCTGGTCAGAAGAGGACACCAGATTTCATTACAGATGGTTGCTGGGAATTGAACTCAGGACCTCTGGAAGAGCAGCCAGTGCTCTTAACCTCTGAGCCATCTCTCCAGCCCCCCTACTTTTTAAATTAAGATTTTAAATTATGTATAGGTGTGTGTGTGTGTGTGCGTGCGTGCGTGCGTGTGTACCTGCATGTAGGTATATATAAGGGAGTGCAGAATCCTGGGGAAGCTAGAGGTGTCAGATCCCATGGAGTTACAGATGGCTGAGGCACCTGAATTAGGTAATGGGAACCTAACTCTGATCGTCTGGGAGAACATCAAATACTCTTAACCCCCAGCCATCTCTGCAGCCCCAGGATTTTTTGTTTTTTAAAGCACATCCTAGAGACTGACAAATAGCTTGGCAAACGAGCACCCAAGAACGAGCTCCAGTTTCCAAGTAGCACAAACTCTTTATTTGACCAGCCTCAGAGGTACTTACTTGATGCCAGGCAAAACTACGCATCAAAGTACACCACCAGTGGGTGGGTCTTCATTTGTGCATCTGCAAAACTTATGGTTGGGGCAACATTCACGACAGAAAATTCATGAAGCCAATGGGCCTCCACCCATGTCTCAACACAGCTTGGAAATGTGTTCCAAGAGTTTTCCAAGAAAATCACAAACCACAGAGCACAGGCAGAAGGTAAGACTCATTTCTGGGGTGTCTTTGCTTAAGAAAATGTTGAGTCGCCATTTCTCTGGCAACCCCCCCCCCCAGCAATTTTTTGGGAGTTTTTTTGTTTTTTTTTTTTTTCCTTTGAGATGGGGTTTCTCTAATAGCCCTCCTAGAACTGGCTCTGTAGACCAGGCTGGCCTTGAACTCAAGAGTCCCACCTGCCTTTAGTGCTTGAACTTAAAGTGAGCACGGCCACCACCCGCTGGCTCTCTAACAACTCTTATTTGTTACAGTCACCACTTGCTCAGGGTATTGTTTGAGGTGTGTCAGCCTCTCTAAGGGAGTCAATGGACCCCTCAGTGCTGTCTGCACACTTGACAAGCTAGAGGCCAGCTCCCACGCACTGCTGCCATGTGAACTCAGCTTCTAACTGCACACCAGATGTGCATGAAGGCACTCGAGTTGGCATCTGGGGACTGGTCTGCCTGGCAGCTGTACTCTATTGTGCAGAAAGCCTCTTCCCCCAAACCTCACGAAACCCAGACACCAGAGCAATTTCTCTGGGTGGCCCTTGTACAATGTCACCAACTCCTGAGAAGACAGGGCACCAACACCCAGAGTGGCACTGAGGATGGATGTGATGCCAGACAGATAGATGAGGCCCAGTGGCTTGTGGCAGCAGGAGGAAGCCAGCCTGCAGGCTCCCGGAGAAAGGAGAAGCAGCCCTACATTGGTGGCCAACCGCACAGTCCTCTCCTTCCCATTCCCAGGAATACCAACTTTCACAAGTGTTCAGGAAGTATCAAGTCATTTTTCAGTCTTCACGATGAAAGTTACAAAACACAGCTCTGGGGAAAAAGTCTAAACAGTGACAGACCCTGCTATGTGTAAAGAGCCACGTTGAACTTGTCACATGTATGAGTATCATCTTCACAAGAGTGGCCCGATAGAATGGTGAGAACCATTCCTTTCAGAGGAAGAAACAGCCAGGCAGAGAAGACTCACTTAACTGCTAAGGGGAAAGGAGCAGAAGTAAGCACAGGCCCACTTCTGGAATCCAAAAGTGGCAGAACCATGAAGGAACTTGGCATGAAAGGTACCACGTGGTCTGGCCCTTTGCTGCACTGGATTACATTACAAATGTAAGATGCATTTCCCAGATGGTCTTCAATGCTCACAAGGTAACATCCACTGCAAGCTATGACATCAGAGGGTGAGCAGAGGAAGCAGAAACCCTTGTTCATGTGTCTTCAGAGAGTAGCATCAACTTCACCTCAGAAAGAAATCAGGCAGTACCAAGATGAGCAAAGGCAGACGGCAGCAGCCTGGCTGTTCCGGGTACAGAATGCCTGGATGATGCCGGCAGGCTGGCACCGTGTACATACCTCACTGACCACATCTGAGCTACTCCCAGAGCCACTGGGAAGGCGGCCAACAGCAGGGCCACTTATTTGCAGTAAAGCAAACAGAAGCTGTCTTTTTCCCTCTTTTTCGAATGTCAGCACTCATTAGCAGAGGTGAAGGGGGCGGGAAGAAACTCATGTTCCAGAAAGGCAGTGGCCACGGGACTGACCCCAGGCCCTGACAAGTTCTTATTACTTTATGCTCTTTGTTCTGCTTTCTGCTGCTTTTAAAACAGCGAGCCCCACACGAGCATGGCTGCTGACTCGGCATTTCTCAAGTGCACCTCCTCACCAGTTTGGGTTCTGATCGCCCCGATCAAACACTGGGATGGTGAACTGCTTTGCCAAAAGATGACTCATAGGATAATATAAGAACACTACAAAATGAGAGTTCCAAACTTGATTAACTTCATCTGAACTATTTAATTCAGGTTGCCCAAGTCCAGTGGGATGATGACATCTACCAATGGAGATGGACTGATGTCTCTGCCTAAGTGTAGGACTAGTCCATGTAATGGAAAAGATAAACTTTGAAAAACAAGTATCTGCGGGGCAGTGGTGGCGTACCCCTTCAATCCCACCACTGGGGTTGGCAGAGATGGGCTATTTCTGAGTTTGAGTCCAGCCTGGTCTATAGAGTGAGTTCCAGGACAGCCAGGGTTACAAAGAGAAACCCTGTTTAAAACAACAAAACAAGCCTGGCGTTGGTGGCGCACGCCTTTAATCCCAGCACTCGGGAGGCAGAGGCAGGTGGATCTCTGTGAGTTCAAGGCCAGCCTGGTCTTCAAAAAGAGTTCCAGAATAGGCTCCAAAGCTACAAAGAGAAACCCTCAATGGTGGGGAGGCTACCCTAAATGCCCTTCCCCTATAATGAGACTGATGACTGCCTTATATGCCATCCTAGAGCCCTCATCCAGTAGCTGATGGAAGCAGAGGCAGACACCCAGAGCTATACACTGAACTGAGCTCTGGAACCCAGTTGCAGAGAGGGAGGAATGAAGAACAAAGGGGTCGGGACCAGGCTGGTGAAACCCACAGAAACAGCTG